GAACCTCGGGAAGGAGGATCACATTGAACTGGCTGAGCTACAAGGGAGGTCTTTCAGGACATGGAGCGCTTTTTCGAAATGGTTTTCTGCATGTTGTAGGGGCTCATGCGAGGAACACAGAACCATGATCCATTTTTCCTGAACGCCTCCAGGAATGTCAAAACAGTGGTGAAGAAATGGTCCAGAGTTCGATCCCCGGTGATGACTAATTTTTGCAATATAGTTTGGCGCCCCAGATTGCCGCCAAATGGCGCCATCGTCGAGAATAGATGTCATTGTCGTGTTTTGCGGCAATTTGGAGGCGCCAACATAAATTGCAAAAATTTGTCATCACGGAGGATCGAACTTTGGACCATTTCTTCCCGCTGTTTTGACATTCCTGGGGGCGTTCAGGAAAAATGGACCATGGTTCTGGTTCCTCACATGAGCCTCTACAACATTCAGAAAACCGTTCCATGTCCTGAAAGACCCTTCCTGTAAGCCACATGGGTACTAGTAGTGACGGAACCCTATACTGTTCTCCTTCCCCCACACCACACCGCCTTGCTTCCCCTCTACCTTCCCCTCTGCAGATATTTCTGGAATCCTGACGTTTTTTTCGTTCCATTTTCGTTATATATAGTACAAAGGGGAAAGTGATGCAAGTTTAGAGATCGTGGAATATAAGCCTTTGTGAAAAAAATCAAATAATCTCTATTTATAAGTTTGCCTGTCTAGGGAAATCCTCGTTGTCGCAATTAGGCGCTTCCCATGAATTCCAGAATATTCTGACACTCCTCTGAATGAATTAATTACAGCCGATAGATAGCATTTCGGAAATATTCTCACATTCCTATCTTATGAAGCACATTTCGATGTGGGGATTTCGGGTCGATCAGTGACACCACATTTTTTGAGGTATAAAAATAGCTACGTTCAACCGGTATCACTCCCAATAACTAGGATACGAAAGAGTACGCCTATAGAGCCCCACTTGCACATTCAAACATTCCACTCCATTTCAAATGGTAGTCCAATCCGTGGCGCATCCAATAAAGAATCAACCAACGAGATATAACTCTTTGTATTTCTTCAACGTTTTCTTCAAGAAAGAAGCCTTTGATGTTGCCTTTTTATTTGCATCCCGTTAGCCGTAATATTTGCTGTATTGTGTGCAGTGTGGTTATCACCTCTAATTTTTTCTTTTTGCAATATATTATAGTATAGTATACAGTAATCACAATAGAGCGTGTGCGAGAGGTGCTGAACGGAAAACCAGCCATCCAAACTTGGCACTGAATTAGTTCCGCCACATTAGAAGCGGAAATGTCGACGCCGTAGCTTTGTTGTTGTTGTAAATCCAAAAACCAACACGTAGTAGTAATAGAAACTCTCAGGAACGATAACGGCGTTGATAACTACGTTGTCGAAGGAAAATTCGTCTTAAAAGTGCCTTCACACTGCTCTTTGCCCCCTTCACCCCAGAACGAGACATGAACTAAGTGATCATTTTCATCAAGTTCCCTGCGATTTCTCATTAACTGCGTGCAAAATTCGGCGAAGAATTCGAGACTTCGTGAATAAGAAATTTTACGCAATCTGAGTAGTACATTCCTTCCTCTGTCCTATAGATCAAAATTATAATCAAACTAAAGGATGGCCGTCACACAAACTGATAATATAACTTCAATGCATTCGGATGCGCCGTCATTCAACTCTCTCAGAAAGTGGACCGAGTCAGTGGATATAAATATAAAACATACGCATGATGAACAGGATTACATCCGATTACTTCTAGAAAGTGGATTCCGATATCGTGGTTACCGAATTAATTTAAGTGACCTGATTTTGCACTGGACGAAACGCTGCCCAAAATAGACATAGAAGCGCGCCTTGGCTGACCGGCGCCAATCTCACCGACATCCATCTTGCACCCACAAGAGGGCGTTTGCGTTTGCCCAACCTTACTAAAAACCATTATTGATCAAGCCCACTAACACTTTTGAAGCATGAATCACACCAAATATACCGAGACTCAGCGATTTACAGGTCTTAGTCTGATTCTCAGATCAGTTAAATCTTATCAGCGTTTGTCCCGGCGAACGTGAAATTGCCTTCCTTCTTGCTCCTGATGACTCCAAATAAATGTGTTCCTTCTGCAGCTGTTAGATCTACCAATCTGCGCTCGCAACTGGTGTTATTTCATAGCATACAATGGTTACGAGTTGCAACAGCGATTGACGATCACGCGGAACGCACGTGGCCTGCGTGGGACAGCGCGGGACGCATGCGTCCCGCGTTGTCCCACACGGCCGTTTCACGCACTCTGCTTCACATTCTTTACATTTGTCCAATAGACTATTCCTTAAAATAGCTGCAAACGAAGCTGCTCGCAAAATAGTCACATATCCTTCAACAAAGGTTTCTTTCGGCCAAAAAGTCAAAGCGCACTGATCGTTGATGTGTTCACGGACATCCAAATACGTGGCGCATCAACATGTGTGATGCTTTCTCTAAAAGCGTGTTCAGCGGTTGAGCAAGTAGTTCAGTACGCGGAGTACTATAGTATTATCTATACAACAGAACCCCGTTGACAATGAAGCATACCTAAGTCGTAACTCGAAAACATCCGTGCGAAGTCTCACTCTCCAGGGAGGCGCGTTACTGTAGGGGTGTATGAGACTGATAGATGACGTGCGTTAAGTTTCTCATGCTTCTTAAGATTTCCTGTGCCCTGGACTCAAACTGGAAATGGTAGATATAACTGGATGCCTTTCGCGCATACATTGACTATGTACTAGGTCGTGAAATAAAAAATATAGAAATAAAAGGAGTAGACATAAAAACAAAAGAGCTAGGAGAATAAGATCTGACTAGACTACTTCTGGGACTTTTTTCACTTTTTTATGTAGGTTCATATTTCATTGATCCTGCAAATTATGGTTTCACATGGTACTTTACACAAGGTTTTACTTTATTGTTCGATGAACCCCACAAACATTGTTCTTGATGAAGACTTCTCTCAGAAACTAATGTAAAATGGTCCTGCGGTGTACTGGGTTTTACAGAAGTCACCAATGCCTCGTCATGAAAATGCCTTGTTGTTTTTTCCAGAGGCGATCTCTACAGAGGTACCAGAACACTACTTGATAACGAATTTCATCTTGTCCCGATACAACAAGGGACTCATACCAAAAATGCTCCAAAATGAATCGATCAAGGTGTCGTTCTCAATGGAACTGTACCAGATTATCCAAGTGGTGAGTTCAGCAGTTATTGTAGAACCTATTCAACGGAAAAAGAGATAGTTCGGGTCAGAGGGACTTTCAGAATAGAAGCCCACAGCCCGCAGCTTGTCTTGAGTTGGACCTAGCAGTGGCTCTGTGATGGCTCCAGAAGTGATAGCTCTAGGCTTGCCCTTCGACTTGAATACTATCTGCGCTCGCAAAACACGGGGACACTGTGCTAGCAACGCATTGAAAGCTGCGTAAAACATGTACTTTTCGTTGAAAACAGGTACTAGGCCTTAGACCTAAGCCCTAGGGGACCTTAGCCTTAAAATTCTTCGAAACCCGGACAGCGACCGTAGCTTGAATCCGAGCTTTTTCCCATGCTAGAATATAGGAGCATCTGTTCTGCTATTGATCCTGTGTTTGACGGTTTTATGGTTTTATTTTAGAATGAACCACAACAGTACCTCATGCTGAACGCTTGGATTGTTGAGGTGAGTTGAACATTCTAATTTTGTCGCCTTATTTTCTTAAAAGCACTCCGCCAAATTGGTGTGATTTTTGCACACGAAAGTGAAAGCGTGGGATGAAAAGAGGATAGGTAATGAAGAAAAAAAACGGATCTGTGGGTCGAAAACGCTGAACAAGGGCGTACTTTATTGTAAATCTTCTGTGCTGAGGTAACGCGGGTACCCGCGTGCTGTGGAAAAAAACTGCAGCGTTTGAAGCGGTCATTGCAAGGCCCTACCGTCGTTTTGTGCATTCAGAGCCGAACTGCACATCTGCGAATTTCTGAGCAACTCTATTTTGTCACTTCGGAGCAATCATTCACCTAACTCACTGCATGTACGGCCTCGAGCCAATCCTAGTGTATACGGAATAGCCCCTTAAAGGAATCTTCCACGGACCATGGACCAGTGGGCGGGACCGGAAGTGGTTTTGCGACGAAATGCATGGTAGGTACGGATCCACGTTCATGGGAAGGTTTGAAGTGAATCCTGTTCACGTTCGTGCGTTCGACACGTGGATCCGTACCTACCATGCATTTCGTCACAAAAACTTCCGGTCCCGCCCACTGGTCCATGGTCCGTTCCTTTAAGATATTATAATGTAAGATATAGAGGGTTATTGCATAGAAATCCCGCTGCTCCGATCCGGACGGGGTGATAGGCTTTTTCTCTTCTGTCTCAGCTTTTTTGACAAATTCCCCTTCTCAGAAGATCTGTAAGGACGCGTAAATGAATGAATAAATTGATATAAAAATAAATAAATTCGTCCATGTATTATACAAGGTTCGTCGAAGGCAATAGCAACACGCGTCATGCCTGTGAAAAGGCAAGTTGGGTACGGTACCTTTCCATATGAATCAAAAATCCATATCTGCTCATATTTGTGTTCTTTATTTAATTCGCGATTTCAGCGCTGGGTTGACAATCTGCTCGGATGGGATCCCGGAGGAGTTCTCAAATGTCACGGAAATCATGCTTCCGTACGATAATTTATGGATCCCGGACACGACGCTTTATAATTCGTAGGTAGCTCATTTGTACAATCGTGAAATGCCAACGACCTTTCGACCGTTTAGGGGAGGGAGAGATGTTCCGACCGGGGCGGGGTTATCCAAAGTCATCTTTGGATGTTTAGTTAGTTGTAATTGAAATTTGGGCAAACTGAGAAAAAGCTCTAACTGATGCGCAGCCCATGAACGCATGCTTGCGTATGTCACGGCAATGTATTTGAGTTGGAAGGCGTGTTTGCATTCGGATGGCCCGCGTGAATAATGAAACCCAAGTGACCACAATCAACTAGGGATCGTTACTAAACTCTTAGCTATGCTGGGAAGATCTAAGGTAACTGATCTAAGGTAGCTGTCCTGATCAAAGAGGCGAGATCCTCGTTGATTCTGACTGAGAGCAGCAAAATCGCGGGCTGGAAGGACCATTCCACCCCCAGCAGAAAAAGGAACCTCTCCGAACTGGGTTCCGCCGTGGAATCAATCTCTCCATAGAAGGCTTCGCAATTCAACGGTTTGACCCTGTCAGGCTTAATTACTGCCCGAGTACTATTCAAATATTGTAATTAATTATTTACTCAAATGTTGCAGTTAATTAATGGGAATAAACGGTAAAAAAAATATTAGCTAATTAAGGTTGGTCATGGATGACCACGACACTCGCCGCCTTCTGAACGCCAAGTTAACAACTCGGGGCAAAGACAAGGGAGCACTCGTTGAGCTGCTCTATCCAACCATCTACAAGCTCAGTTGCTTGTTGGATCTGAGGTGGGGTCATTTTGATGCGTGACCATTGACCCGCAAACATATTAGTCATGCAAAAATAATGACCATGTTTCAGATTCTTTCCCTTCGATGTGCAGGTAAGTCGCTTCATCACTGCGTAGGAAATCTGAACTATTTTTAACGTGCTGCAAAACCAACATCATACCTCTGTGGTTGCACGTTCATGTGGATCGATAGTATGCCACAAGAGCGACGCGGTTGCGTCGCGTGTCGATCAACATGGACGCGCAACCACTAAAATTGTAAAAAAAGTGATTTTTATTTGCCAAAGAGAATAGAAATAGATGTTTATTTTGTTCTGTAGACGTGTAAACTAACTTTCGGCAGTTGGACGTTTGACAACACGCTCATCGATTACTTTTCCTCATAATATAACTCATGCAATCGGCACCACCAACTGTATTGACAATGAGGGATGGACCGTATTGAAAACAACTGGTAATTATATTACATAACAAAGTATTGATGTGTGATATTCGTGTTAATATAGAGGAGGAGCTACGAGACGCGCGCGGTCGCGATGCGACCCAACGAGCTTAGGGACTTTTGCTCAGCTGCAGTGAATGATAATATATTGCTAACGCTGAGATTTTGCAAAGAAAATAATGAAGTGCGGGAACAATTGAAGTCCAATCGGTCTTTTTGCTCAATCATTCCAGCCGCGTCGCGACCGCTCGCCTCCGGTTTCGGTTGTTTCTTGAATGGGTTTGATTTCAGTGGAACGACAAGTAAATCACTATGATTGTTGTCCAAACGACTACACACTTCTGGTATTTCATTTGAATATACAACGAAAACCGCTCTACTACGTCATCAACCTTATTACGCCTACTTCGATTATTACACTGATCTCAATTGTTGGGTTCTTCAGGTACGTTTTATCATGAAGAATAAGCCACGTACTCATTTCATATGACAGGTTGTTGGGCATCGATTGATTGGGAGCTTTAACCAACACGTTTCTGGGCAGAGGTTCTCGTAACGTATTCTGACCTTTTCACCAAGGCTAGCGTAAACTTGGTGAACGGCAGCGAAGAAGGCAAAGAAATGAACAAAAGAAACTTGTATTGTCTAATTGCATCTATAACGCCGCAATCCGCTTTCCGAATGTTTCACAAGAATGCCAGGTTAGGAGCAAAGTTCTTCGCGCTAGGCGGGAATCGAACCCGCGGTGGGTTTCATTCTTTTGGAACCAGAGATAAATGTTGGTAACGCCCAGTAGAGGATCTCTGTAGCCAGCTAGGTCTCGTACGAATGCAGAAAATTGCGCTCCGGACTAGAAACTGTGACGCCGAGGGCAAGAAAGGGGAATAGAGAGTAGGGAAACGTAGGGATGAAACCGTCAGCGGAGGCTGAACTGACGATGGTTTCTGTCTAGTATTGGTACCCTAGCTGCCTTCTGCCTCACCGTAATAACTTTTGCCTTCTTTGGCACCTGGTCAACTTTTAGTTTATTTTCGAAGACTCAGTGAGTTGCAAGTAGCATTAGCTCCAAACCCTGTCTGTAATGGAAACATCAGGATCGGGTCGTCAGGAAATGCTGGGCATTGGTTGTTCAGCCGCAGCTACCGCTTGCCACCACTGACGGCTACTCCAAAACCAAGCATTGCGCAATCGCAGACGAAGAACGGACCCATTTTCTGGCCATAGATACCGATTTTGGGACCCATTCGCGGACAGAAACGACCAGACCTACTTCTTTTTCCGACTATGATTGTCATGATACAGTATACACATGCAGGTAAGGATGTGAAATTGCAGTTCATCATCGATCAATGATCTCAGAGAGGAGAAAATCACACTAGGCATCACAACCACTTTTGTCGATGTCTATATTGATATTCATGGTGTCCGATAAAATGCCGTCAACGTCCTCTTTCATCCCTCTCATTGGTGAGTTCCTCTTGCGACGCTTTAAGCCAGCGCTTGCAGAGCGTACAACAAATTGTCACTGAAATTAGGCAACCAGGCCCCTTTTAGACGTCTTGGGGTGGAGCGGGGTGGAGCGAGTGGGGGGAGGGAGAAGTGACCGAGCACTGGGCTATCCTGAAGGTTTATTTTTGGAGGTAAATAACTTGTAGACAATTTTTTGAGCTTCAAAAAAAACCTCCGGCGCTTTCCTACCATGACATCGAAAGCACGTGTTTGGGAATTAACGGGGTTGTGGCTTGGAAGTTGAAGGTTCGAGATTTTTTTTCGAAGATGAGATGTTTTTGTTGCAGGTTGAACTAAAACTGCAGTAAAATGGTGCGTAAAATTTGTAAAATTTGCCGTTTCAGTCGTCACATGTACTTGCTGTGCACACATGTTCTGTTCCTCTTCACAAAACACCGTTTGACAGCAGTTCTTGGAGCGGGCAGGTGGGCGGCGCAGGTTGTGTTCAGCTTTTTTTTGAATGTTTCAGTTCGCACTCGTAATCGTTGGAATCCGCAAAATTAAACAACTAGCTAGAGTTACGCTGGTGAGAGGAGATGCAGCACGTTAATAAGGTTGGACGGGCGGGGGGCGGTTGAGTTTGGTGGCCAATTGAAATTTGTTTCAGAGCAGGGTCAAGGGCTTGACTCGCTCCTTACTGTTATTGCAACAGCTGCCTGCGTATGTACTACGTGGCCATCCAAAATCCAATAGGAGCTAATTCTACCAGTATTTTGCTGCCAAGTAAGATCACTGGTTTTGAGTAGATCAATGTTACATAGGGAAGCTTTAGATAAGATCGGAAGAGCACACAGTTGTAGCGTTATCAACACTTGATAATAGTGGGTATGTGGAAAGGAACGGCTAGGGCAGAAAGAGGATCACTGAGATTACCAGAGATATCCCTTTTTGTGTGATCATCAGTGCCAAGAAGGAGGAATATTGGGCATTGAGTGGAGAGGACAGACGAGAAAGCATAACGAAGAGCGAAACGCAGACATTCGTGGAAACTGGTGTTGCGAATAAGAATACGTCTGTTTTCAACCAAGCTACCTGACTCTAAGCAACCACCGTTCATGCTAGCAATGCTATTTCTGAGAGCTGCAGAGTTTTTTTTCGCCGAATGTAACGCGCTATCAGGACTGTATCTCCACCGTATCGATAATGCTGATTCGTTCGACTGCCTTAGCCAGCTATCTATGGTTCATATACGTGCATTTATAACAGGGTAAGGGATTTGAGTGTTCCTGGCCAACTATTGAGAATATAAGGCCAGAGCAGATTGTAGGATCCTTTTTGTGTAGAAGTAGGTCCCAGGACTTCTGTCAACCATGAGGGTTGGAGGTTCAGCATTTCGTAGTGATGTCTGGGAGATCTATCAAGTGCACACTATCACATCATCTTTTCTTTCTTCATCTCCTTCAAAAGGCTCAGTTCCAAGAAGACACCAAGTGTGTGCTTTCCCAGCTACTCTCTCAGTCTTTGGTTGACAGAAGCCTTGTAACCGTCAGAATAGCATAAGAGGATCACGGCCTGGATCGGAATTTCCCTTGAGCGGTCCTTCGAACCTCATTATTGGCACTTCACGAATTTTTACCACGTTCCAGGTATTCTTGGCAAACCACCATCTCGAAAAACGATGCGCTGGGCGCGACTCGTGGCACGATGTGTCCGAATGGAGATGCCGCTTCTCATGAAGCAGGCCTACGCGCCACTGAAATTTACACTGTGTAAATATGTGTTTGTTTATTCTATTTGATTAATATGTTACCCATTGCTTTGTTTGTTTATTCAACTATTTAATTCTATCCTAAGAATTTTGCCTCAGTACATGGAAAATTCAAGAACAGTAATAATGACTGAGACTTACAATAGGGTTATGTTGTACCCTTTTCAATGACACCTTTCGGTGGTTCAGTGGATTTGATACGAGGAAAACTATGTACAGAGAGAAGCCTTTATTGTTGGCTGCAAGAGAAGGTTATATGGGTTGTAGTATCTGTTCTTGCTTGTACAGTATGGGCACGCCCCCGCCAGACGTGAGGTCGTGAGGGAATCATTGCCAGCGATGCGCAGGCGATGATAAAGAAGAGCATATGTGAGATCAGCGTGAGTCACGTGTGCCAAAATTTGCCAGTCAACACGCCCACCCGTCCCTGAAGTGTCCATAGCCATCATGGTCGCCATAGTATGGTCCTCACTCGTCTCAAACTACGGCAGTAGCCCATGGATGTTGGCAGTCACACGTAACCAAGAGATTTCTGCCTGTCAGGAAGTGCGACGAGGACAGTGTTAATGAAGACTTCGTAAACGCTTCAGAAATCTTTTGAAACTTTCTAAAACATTCCAAAGAAACTCTTACTGATGGTGAGATAGCTTTCCTCCTCTTCTAGGAACTATTGTAGTACAAGGCCTTTATTCCGAGTTACACCCCACAACCTCCCATCCATACGACATCTTAGCAAAACCCATTTAAGGTGCTCGATCGTTTCTCCTGCTTCCTTCACCAACGGGTAATACCAAGAACCAGGGTCAACCGCGACAAAAATTTTCAAAATTTTTCACCTACCTTCTAGGGGTTGTTCCTATGGGCTACCGTTCCGCCCTACCACAATACGCGATGGGTTACCCAATAATCCGTCACGTACTGTGGTAGGTAATATGAATATGACCATTTTGTTCCCACCCGAACAACCACTTTCACCACAACGACTGTTTTTCCAGTATTTTATTCTTAGACTAGTCGGCACGCTCCAACTCCGCCCACTATTGCTATAGAAGGACCGTCGAGCGCTGGAGAGGGGAGGGAAGGATTCAAATTCAAAGTTCATGAAAAATGCCAAATCAAAGTTCATCAAAAATGCCAAATAAAAGTCAAAAAACGACCACGTCTCCATACACCGCAGCACAACCTCCCCCCCCCTCATCCAGCTCTCAACCCACTTGTGAAGCATTAAAATACGTCTTCCCCCATCTTACCTTCACCAAAATGCAAAAATTAAATCCCTCTCAGAATTTTACCATGGTCAGTGACCTGTTGTTACTCAGAACTACACTTTCGGTCCGGACTCGGGAATTTTGTTTATCAGCGCAGTTATTTTTAAGGTTGAGCAGTGTGCCTTCATTCAAACAATTAAGAATTAAGCACTTGAAGGCATAACTAAGAAGTGGCGCGAACGACCCCGCCTACCAGCCCGGTGAGCGATTTTGTTTCGCGTGTGCAGGATAACTGCCTTGAAAAGCTACCTCATATAGGCGGACTCGTGGATGGAATCGCTGAATTTACGGGCCTAAGACCTACAAAGTTTGCTAACAGTAGCTGCACTGTTCGCCGCCTGCAGCTGCAGTGTCCGCCGCTGCAGCAGCTGGTTTGGTCTGGCGGCTCTCTCATTTTGTTGCCCTCTACTCGCCTTTCCGCTTCTTTTTCCACGCTCAGTTTACTATTGCTTAGCCCAGTTCGCGTTACAAAATGAAAACAAGTCAATAAGTTCAACCATCCGCACATCATTGCCTTCCTATTCGTGTGCAGAAACCACAACATCTCTGTCCTGGATCACGCCTTTAATCTTTTACTTGTACGTTGTTTTTGTACTGGGCTAGATAGTTAGGACTTTACTTTAGTACATTTCTATCAGAAGGAATATGAAATCGGATTGGAACTTTCATAGCTGCTTTTTTAGAGCATGAATCAACTTGCATTGGTCACGATCAATCTTGCCGAATTTCGTGTACGTGTCTTCAGTTCATGCCCTGCCTCTTGTATAGTAGTTCTTCGGAAAATATTTACATTTTAGGAAGATAAATTGAGGCGCGCACAAGACGGACGGAAACAGAGTTTATGGCAACGCGTTTACAAGTTAGCTAAAGAACAGGGGCATATCAGAAAGGTACGTAGATAGAGTGATTGTTGTTTTCTTTGAATAATTTCTAGTCCGGAAGCACAAAAATAGCTGATTACTGTAATTTCCAGCAATCGAGATCGATTGCCAAAAGTGAACGGAATTGGAAGCACGTCGTCACCGGACATTCAGCAATTACAAGTGCCAAAGAAAAGCTGCACAATCAACACGGACGTCACGTGTATCAATGAGCAGGGCTAGTTTTTTTCAAAATTACATTAAAAATCGCCAATGGTCCGACAAAATACGTGGATCAGCTGCGTCCAAATGGCATTGAAATCCCGACCCAGCCACAGAATGCTCCAACTCTTCAGTGGCGGAGGTTGATTGGTGCTTATAATCTGGGAGGGCAGAATAGATTGATCTGACTACTATCCAAGAACCATAAGCTGTCTTGGAAATCAAATATAATCTTAAAGACGACGGGTAGGGATAAAATTGGGTGAGTACCAAGAGCTTCAACGTAAGGTGTTGGAAGTATAGTTTGGAAAATGCGCAAAAATGTCCCGATTTACGCTCTGAACAAGTCTCCGACATTATCGCCGCATCCCACTTAGCGAATGCGAGACGGTGCGCGGTTCGGCGAAGGTTTTCATGGACGGTTAGTCCAGTGCCACGTCATGCTGACACTGCCGCGGCTGATCGGCCGCGGCTTCTTTTTGCAGCGTTACAGTTGGAGGCGGAACTTCGAAGCGAAAAGGTGTGGATTGCAGGAGTTAGAGCGAAACTCAAGCGCCTTTTGTCGCCATTCAAAGCGGCAAGGGCACGAACAACTAGTTGCGTATGAGATCCTAACCATGGATAGGAGCCTGAAACAGCGAGGTGAGCATGCTATATCATCGGACCGTGCCTACAAAATGGGTTGTCCACGCACCATCTCGTGACCTACATTTGCTTCTGCACATACTAGAGGAGAAAAAGAAAAAGACGGCCACTAATTTCGACAGACTTCGAGCGCTTCATGTTCTCAGCTGTACAATTACTGGTTTAGAATAGATTGCTGGCTGAGTTGATCGGGATGGGCCAGATAGAAAAACCAGAGAAAAACGAAGTTACTCATCTTGGTTTTGGTGAAGTCCTCACAGAACTTCACAAATAATTGAATATAATGAAGCTACACATTGACTGGCGGAAGTGGCAAGTGGTAAGGCGCTATTTCCCAGGATATCCGCCAGGAGGCCCGTCGCGCGGCAACAGGCGGAGTCAGCGGACGAGTACTAGCGCGTACTGTGCGATGTGGGTTTGCAATGGTTAACTTGACGGAAAACCGTATGAGTATGAGCTGCGATTTCGTCCGCTTAATCCGACTTTGGTCGCACGCGATGGGCTCTTGTTTGGGTACCACTACGCAATGCACATGGTTGGGCGTCAATCTCTGCGCTCGAATTAATCTTGACTCAACAGGCACTTCAGACTTTCCCTCTCCGCAGGTTCAGTTCATGATAGCAAACTTGGTTTGGAGCACTTACAATGATGACAGCAGCTTAGTCCGCAAGTCGGCTGTATACACCATAACTCATTCAAATCTACTAAGATTCTGAGTGGAATTGAAGTGGGTGAGGCATTCCAAAAAAATCTCAGGCGCCACCGCTGCCTAACATTTGTGAAATGAAATAATCGCGTTTGTTCAGTCCGGGTAGCAGGCTACCGAGCACTGTGACCTTTAAGGAATCCTTCGCGGAAAATTCTTGCAATCTTTCTTGACATGGATGTGTCAGTTGTGATCACTGGAAACAGCACGCAAAGTTTCACGCATGAAGATTCGGTTTCCGAAGAGAAACAAACGTCCAAAAACTACACGTTATGGACATCGAAGGTAATTCGGGCGGAGCCAAACGAGACATGGAAAGAAGTTGGCCTTTAGCCGGCTACGTATCAGGCGACGCAATGACGGAATCCGGGAAAAGTGATCGGTTTTGAGATAGAGCGACAAACAATGATAGAGCTATGATGCCAGTAGAAGTGTAAGATGTGAATGCAATAAAGCAGAAAGCCAGAAAGAGTTTCTAGTGAAGGCACTCCAAGAACCAAGTGGAAGCATCCCCGTCGCCAGCATTTGTGAAAGACGTCCGTGGGCACTTTGAACGCGTAGCAGCCCTTTCGATTTTTCGAATTTTTTACCAGAACAAAAGCAATATTTCTGTTCTTTCCATTCTTATCGTGGATAATGAGTCTCAAGTCAGTGATTTATGGCCCAAATAAAAGCATGATTTTTCCGCGAAGGATTCCTTTAATGCAGCACAAAGCTCTGAGCAAGGAACGCTTTAGCCCACTAACTGATTTCCTGTGTGTTAGGCCCTCTGGGAGCCAGCCTTGTTATAAAGGTAGGTGCTGCTTGGAAATCCGTTTCCATAGGTGTCCAACCAGCTGCGATTCCTTGTTTTTGTAATTCATTGGAGCCAACAACCACGCCGTTCGCCCACCAACAGCCCTGGACATGTTTTTAGCTGCGGAGATTCAGTTTTTTCTGCGATCCAAAATAGAACATAGATGCATGGCGCACTCCACTCCGATCAACTTTGACCGAAGGATTGACTTTTGGCCACTCTACATATATTAGCGTCATTGGAAACATTTTCTTATCCAGTACCGAGTTTAGGTGACACAAGCGCCTTGGTGGAATTTTCGAATATGTCGGATGAGGACAACTCGTCCTTTCCGGACATTGACCTAGCAGCTGCGACTCCGGCCACCCCAGTGTCCAAATTCCATAGTCTGCACAAAATGAGCACGTGTGCATCGCTGGACAGTATGATTCGCAACGTGGACAGTAAGTATCGATTACAGTTGCCGTGCCAGGTTACGGTATTCCAGATGGGCCTATTTTCAGTGTCAGTAACGTCACCGCGAACGATACAACGGAATCTCGCCGAACTGGAATACGACTGGTTGGCAGCCGTGATCGAGCGGATTTTCTTGATTTTCTTTATCATTGTTTTCTTGTTGACTTCTGTTGGTATTAATTGTATTGGTTTGTACTATTGGTATGTAGCACAAAATGACCCTCACTTTGGTCTCGCCGAGTCATAAATTGTATTTTCATAAATCTATTGAAAAGCCTATAGTGTTCATGTGCATGGCGCAACCCACAAGGAGGCTAACCATACTGACCATTTTTAATCATATCTCAGAATAAGCTGTATAAGGCGTATGTATCTACTGCTACTACGTAGATTTGAATTGAAGCTGTGAAAGCGTTGCGGTTGTGGCAGGTGATTTTGGTTCTGCATTCTGCTGAAATCCGGGCCTCCTGACCCACACCCAGTATCAAATGGTTGTGCACCATTGCTGTTCGAAGCGTGCGATCCTTTCGGGTCCAGTATTCGAGAGAAGTGGTTGTGCTATAGTGCCCGCACACATAAACTAGGAAAGGCGCCTTACCATACCGTGGTAAGGCAGGTCAGCGTCCATAGTTGGAGGATTCCGATTTGGGCGACCGTGATCAAGTGGTCGATGCCGCACACAGGGGTACCCCCCAGGGAGGCCGTTCGTCGCAAGTAGGCAAGTCACGACGAGTCGCATGCGTACTATAAGGATTGTCGCGTCAAGTAATAAGATTCATCACATAACGCTCTGACAACTCCGTCGCGCTGGCTTACGTTCTGCGCGCGAACGGCGCTCATGGGGGTACCTGACACATTTCCAGGGCTTGTCTTGAGCAGCTCATCGTACAACTTATGAATCCCATCACAAACCTCAAAAGTGGGTGTACAGAACGCTCCGCCTTAGAATATTAAACACACACCTCCCATGCGCTAGCAACATACCCGAGGAGCGTGACTCTGTGAATATCACAGAGATCGATATAGTGTTGAGACACTTAAAAATCATTGAAGATGAAGGAGAGATAGCACTACAGTGCGCAGTTTTTGACGTGTGTGCTAAGCGCTCTGTAACGGCGATAGTAATGCCAGACATTGTTATCTGGAGTGCATAATGATACGAAACGATCTGCAAACGTGGTGGGTGTCTGGCTGATGTGAGCGCATGTAACCTAAAGTTCATGAAATTAGTCCAGCACATTAGAAAATAGAGACTGAGAACTTTCAAGCAAGAGAAACGTGCATTCTTTTCAGCGCAATTCCCTGATCGCTTACTCTTTTAATCATGGATCATAGTTGCAGCCTTAAAGGCACAGGTCGGGATCAAAATGATTGTGCTATTTCGTTTAAAAATTTGACAAAAAGTGCGATGAGGAATGTCAGTGGGAAGAAAAATCAAAAAGCGCCTTGGAAACCCTGAAATTCCCCATGTGTGGTAGGCCGTGGGATAACGGAGAGGCACAGAGCTACGACGCTGGAGGGCGCAGACGAAACTCGTATGTAATTGATAAGGATGGCAGCACGGCAGCAAAAAGCACAAAGCAAGGCCTTAGCCCCATTGCCTCGCACTTTTGAGTCGGGAGGTGTCGCGCCTTCTGCATAGGTGACCCCCCCCTCTAGGAGGACTTCTTCTTGGCACCAAATCCCCACCCGTTTTTTAAGTTTGGTGTTTTGCTGTGAAATCTTAAATAAAGATTTATTGAGCTCTTTGGCCCAAGAAAACTCCATCAGTGGTGATGAAGAAACTGAAAGATGTTTGTCTTATTTCTACAATACTCAAATTTGTTGAAGGAATTGACGTCACAAATGATCACATAAGTGCAGAGGAGCACTTATCGAGCTGAATCTTCAATCTCTCGACGGTTACGCGGCGTTTTGGAGGCCGCTTTCGTGTCCTGAAATCCGTTATTTGATCTCTCTACACAGACCTGACCGTTTACTTTTGACAGCTGGTGGTTCTCTCTTCACTAGTTTGCCCTAGCCGCTACAGTTTCATATCTGAACACCATCCTCTCTCGTCCTTGCCATCGTAGACTCCGCAGCGGAGTCAATCCTTGCCGTTCAGCCGGTTTTGAATTTTTCATGACCCCTCCCTTTTAGGTGGTCCCAACGCGACTTCGCCACTAGCTCGCGTGAGAGAGGATACCCACGAATACGTCTTCTACCACCCTCGACCTCCACGATAAATATTTTGAAGAGCGTGCGTCCCTCCAATTTTGCCTATTTCGCGCTTCTTTCGCAAGCCAAAATCGTCAAAAAATGTTGGAAATTAAGGCTTTCCATTCGATACTTTCACGTTCGTCAAATCCGATTACGGCCTCCTTTCCCGAAAATCGCGAATACGACCACACCGTCTGAATCGACCTGAAGGATAGTTCACCGTGCTTCAAAGGCACAGGACGAGCTGGGTGAGCCGAGTAAGCTCCTCTATGGCGCATAGCT